ATGTCCCTGTCCCAGAACTCACCTTGATGTCCCTGTCCCAGAACTCACTGTGGTGTCCCTGTCCCAGAACTCACTGTGGTATCCCTGTCCCAGAACTCATGGTAGTGTCCCTGTCCAAGAACTCACCGTGGTGTCCCTGTCCAGATGATGATGGTGCTTTGGTTCTGGGGACAGAATGAATCTGAGACCCGATCAGGTTCAATCGGTTTAAAGGATTTCTGGTTGCGCCTGGATGGGTTTAACTGCTCCGTTGATTGGATCAGCCAGCAGAACACCTGGTCAACTGGACATGAAGACACCTGGGCAGGCTTGACATGTCCCTGTGTCCCCCTGCAGGAGAAGGAGAAGAAGTACATGCTCCCTGTGGACAACCTGAAGCTGAAGGACATCGAGAAGAGCTTCATGTCCAGCAAACACATCTTCGCCCTGTTCAGCACCGAGCACAGGTCCACTTCCCTCTTTCTTCCATGTCCCTCTGTCTCTGTGTTCTTCTGTCTCCGTGTCCGTCTCCATGTCACCCTGTCTCCATGTTCTTCTGTCTCCATGTCCCTCTGTCACAGTGTCCCTCTGGCTCCATGTCCTTCTGTCTCTGTGTCCCTCTGTCTCTGTGTCCTTCTGTCTCTGTGGCCCTCTGTCTCTGTGTCCTTCTGTCTCAATGTCCCTCTGTCTCTGTGTCCGACTGTCTCCATGTCCCCCTGTCTCTGTGTCCCACTGTTTCCATGTCCCTCTGTCTCCGTGTCCCTCTGTCTCCATGTCCTTAAAGTAGAAGTCAGGCTGCAGCTGGTTCTGTTCTCTGGTTCTGTAGGAACGTCTATAAGGACTACCGGCAGCTGGAGTTGGCCAGTGAGTCCCAGGAGGAAGTGGACAGTTGGAAGGCATCTTTCCTACGTGCTGGAGTGTACCCTGAACGCAGCGTGGTACTCATCAGTCCTTACTTAAGTTCTTCCTACCTCTGATGCTGATAGACTCTGACTGTCTCTCTGTCTCTGTCTCTGCCTGCAGGACAAAGAGAAGGTGAGTGGAGGGTGGACGGGTGCAGCAGTGGTCCTGATTCTGGGGGGGTCTGGAGGACTGACGGTGTCTGTGGAAACAGGTGGAGGCCGAGGAGTCCAGTTCCGATGGGCAGATCCACAGCATGGACCCGCAGCTGGAAAGACAGGTGGAGATTGTCCGGAACCTTGTGGACTCGTACCTGTCCATCATCCACCGCACCGTCAGAGACCTTATCCCCAAGACCATCATGCACCTGATGGTCAACAATGTATGAAAGACACACCTGCACAAGTTGTCACAGGTAGAAGCAGAACCCAGAGTTCCTCCTTGTTCTCCTCAGACCAAAGACTTCATCCACTCAGACCTGCTGGCCCAACTCTACTCCTGTGGAGACCAGAACTCCCTGATGGAGGAGTCCCAGGAACAGGTAGGAGGAACACAAGGAGACACGGGAGGGACACAGAGAGAAAGAACGGACACAGAGACGAGAGGGACACAGGGAGACGGGACAGACAGAAAGACGGGAGGGACAGCAGAGAGACGTTGTCTTGCTCTTTGTCCTGCTCCAGGCTATGCGGCGGGACGAGATGCTGCGGATGTACTTTGCCCTGAAGGAAGGTCTGAACATCATTGGTGACATCAGCACCTCCACCGTTACCGTGGCAGCGCCCCCCCCAGTGGACGACTCGTGGCTGCAGGTGACGGGGATGCCGTCTGGACGCAGGTAACCTGGGAGCTGATCAGTACGTTCCTTAGGAACGGTCTGACAGGTCCCTGAGACACGCCTGTCTCTGCAGGTCCCCTATGTCCAGTCCGACCCCCCAGCGGCGGGCCCCGCCCGGTCCGCCCAGACCCGGCGGCCGTGCAGCTCCCGGCCCTCCTGGTCGTCCGGCAGTGTCTCCTGATCCTGGAGGACAGGCACCGTCTGTTCCCTCTCGGCCCAACAGAGCGCCCCCTCCCGGAGTACCCAGGTTAGTGTGATTGGACCTTTGGGTTCTCTAGGTTCTGGTTCTGAAGCTTTGGACCTTTGGACACTCAGACAGGACCAGATCAGCTCAGGGATGGAATGAAGCCAGGATGTGACGGAACCAGAATCTTTAGAACATGAAGGACCCGGTTTGTTTATCAGAACCTCCTGGAGGGAATGGATCTGAGAGTTCTGCTTCATGCTCCGAACACTTAGATCCAGTTCTGTTCTGCCGGGCTACACTCTACCAGTTTTTCGCTTTTAGGGACGATTCCCCAGTTGTGGGAGAATTTTCCGATCGGGCAGACTTCCAGCCTGATGGTGTGGTGTAGTGAACAGGGGTTAACAAGGGGCGATCAGCCTCTAATGACCACCTCCCCATCAGGAATCAGATGGTCGGAAGAAAATCAAAC